TAAAGAGGCAGAAACGGGCAGATCCCTGGAACTCATTGGCTGGTCAGGCAACCTAGCCTAGCGAAACTGATGAGCTCCAGTCAGCACAATCCCTGTCTCAAAAAATAGGGCAGTGGATGATCAACAGACACTCAGCATCGACCTCTGGCTTCCACACACAGACATACATGTACACGCCCCCACATGAACATGCACATACATCACTTATACCCACACACACACAGGAAGGAAGGGAGGGAGGGTGATCTGCAGACTGTCAAACAAATAGGTTAGCAAAGTTACTGGGTTCAAAAACAGTTTACTAATCTCAGGAGCATTCTTTTTTTAAGGTTTATTTATTTTATTTTAAATTATGTGTATATGTGCTTCTCTGTGTAAGATCTGTGTACATATGAGTGCAGGTGCTCACAGAGTCCAGAAGAGGGTGTCAGATACTCTGGACTGGGAGTTAAAGGAGGATATGAGCCACCCAGTGTGGATGCTGGGAACTGAACTCAGGTCCTCTGGAAGAGCAGTACACACTCTTAACAGCTGAGCCATCTCTCCAGCCCCAGGAACATTCTTATATGAGCAATAACTAATTAGAAAACAATTTTAAAAATAGATTCACACTGCAATAAAGCATCAAAGTTCCTAAAAATCAATCTAGCCCAAGGTATGAAGAAGTAGTTTAAAGAACATTGTAAGCCCAGAAGGGTGGTACATACCTTTAGTCCTAGCACCTGGGGAGGCAGAGGCAGGAGAATCTCTTTGAGTTCAAGGCCAGCCTGGTCTACATAGTGAGTTCCAGGTCAGCTGGGGCTGCAGGGAGACCCTGTCTCAAAAACACCAAAAAAAAAAAAACAAAAAACATTGTAAGACATTACTGAGAACACAAGAGATGTGAATAAACAATAAAACACAACCACAGAAACTGAATATTCATCTTACTGATGAACATCAAATTTGGTGTAAATCTTTTTCAAAATTAACTGATAAAAAGTATCTCCAGCCAAGACTCCATTATAGCTTTTCATAAATTAATTTAAACTGATTCTAAAATTTATACCACAGAGGAAGAGCCAAATCATTCAAGAAGTCAGACCCACAGGGTAAAGGCTACGACAGGGCAATGTGTGCACACGGCACCCTACTGCAGAGGGAGATAACAGAGCAAAAGAAAGACAAGCACGGGCCAGGCAGGGGGCACACGTCGGCAATCCCGGCACTCAGACCAAAGTAGGAGAGACGAAAGCTCAAGGTCCACCTGAGCTGTATGGTGAGGTTCTGTCTCGATAACAAAAATATTCCCAAGCATAAATGTTGCCTCGATAGGATCAGAGGAAGTGTTCCATCAGAATGCATTCTCAGTCAACAGTGTTGGGACAACTGGCTTGCACTTGGAAAACAAATAAAATTAGCTGTTTCATTACATATATTTTTTAAAATTAACTCAAAGTTCGAGTTCTTTGGAGTAGGAATGCATTTTTAAAAATAGAAACATTATAAAAGGAAAAAAAGAAAAATTTTACTATATAAAAATTCAAAATTTCCAGTTGACAAAAAAAATCATTTTTAAAAAATGTCACGGTGGTCTAGAGTACAGCTCAGCGCTACAGTGCTTGCTTAGCATGCACAAGGCTCTGGGTTCAACCTTGGCATCGCAAAAAGAAATACATAAATAAATCAAAGCAATAAATAAAAAATACAAATCATAAAAGAGGGAACAATATCGCTAACAAATCAGTACATGACACATGCAAAGAGTCCCTAAAACACCAAAATGGCCAAAAATGCAAGTTTTAAAGATGAGCAAAGACACAGACAAGTAGGGATGCTCAACCTTACTGCTGGTCAGAGAAAGAGTTTAAAAACCATCACATGACATGCAGTGGACTGTCCAAAATTCAAGGCCAGGCTGTGGAAAAGCAGACGCTCCCCAGGCTGCTGATGGCCCGAGGTCAGCACGGCCCTTGTGGGATAAAAATTTGAGCGGCCAAGAGCCCAGCACAGCTCCATCGCCCCTCCTTGGGGAAACGGTACACGTGAACAAGCAGACGATCCCTACACTGTGTTGTACAGAAGGAAGGGCGGAAAATATCCATGTTTTAAAAAAGAAAAGTTAGCCAGATATAGTTGCCCTGCCCGCAATTCAGTGCTGGGAGGCTGACACTAGGGGACGTGAAGTGAATTCAAGGCTGGTTTACAAAAGGAGACTGAGTCACAGTCTCCTCTTCCAGACCTGTATTTGTGAGCAGTGATAAATATTTAAAACGATGCTGAAAAGGACTTTTAAGATAATGCTGAAAGTTGGCAGGAAGTCGTTTCAGAAATTCACAAAATGGACCGCTGGAGATATCGTGTAAAGCTAAAACACTGACTAGAAACCTAAGCAGAAAATGTCCACCAGAAGGGGGGGGGGGGCACTGGAGGAGAGAGAGAGAGAACAGGGGGACTGCAGGAGAGAGAGCCTGGGACTCAACTGAGATGGAGTCACTCGGGCCTCCGTGATCTGATGACACACTGGGTGGCCTTGTAGCAGCTGTACTGACTTTGACTAAAACAGCTATGATGTCACTCATGACATCATCTCCCAAGGCCTCTGTCACACATGGCCCATCACTTGGCAACACTGGGTGATGGAGCACATGATTACATTTGTTGACACTGATACAAAATTGGATGCTAACGTGCTTGGCCAGGGCAGTGGGGCCAGGGCGGTGGGGCCCGGGATCCTTGTATTTTCTTTTGTATTTCTTACCAGAACCAATTTTTAAGGCTTGGTTTAACTTTTTTAAGGACACCTCAGAACCTGTTCTCTGCAGTCTGGCCTCCCTTCCTGGAGCCACTCACCTGGCGGCTCTTCCTCCTGCCCCTCAGCCTCTTTCCACCACATACACCTTGCCTGAAACTTTCAATGCCTCTTCTCTCTCTCCCTCCCTCTCATCTCTCTTCCCTTCTCCCTCTCACCCTCTGACTTTTCTTCTCTCTCTCTCCCTCTTTCCCTCTCTCTCTCCCCCTCCCCCTCCTTCCTCCCTCTCTCTTTATCTCTGGTCTGTGTCTGTATTTTACCAGACATTGCAGCTATCTCTACAGAACGTAAATGTGATATTTCCAGATTATTCTCTCCCTCTCTCCGGGCTCCATCTCCAGCTCAGCTTCCCTTCTGTCACTTCTCTGGCACATCCATCCATCCATCCTAGACTGTCTTATAAATGAGACATCTTTTAAACAGGAAAAAAAAATGGGCCCACCCCCCAGCACCAAGGCAGGCAGGGAGTGGGCCAGTCCCCCACCTATCACAACACCTTGGCTTCTGCCCGGTCATCTCAACCTGCGCCAGCGGATGCCCCATGTCCTAGAATTTCAGCATCCCCTTGTTCCCTTCCTTTCCACCTTGACCGCCTTCAGCTTCTGCCACTGCCAAGGTTCTGAGAGCCGCAGTCTGTGATGACGTGTCCTTGACGCTAAATGAAAGCCTGCTAACAACGGCCTTCAGCTCCCGCCTGGACGATGTCAGGTTAAGTGGTGCAGCCAAGGCGTGCTGCTGATGGTTGTCGAGTGGCAGCACAGTGAAGCACTGCACAGCCGGCTCCTCTAGCCGATGTGCTCTAATGATGTTAAGAATCTCAGCTCTGCTTTGAAAAGTCTGAAGTCCAGTTGCCAACTCAGCACGAAATGCAGACACGCCCTAATAAAATCCACAGAAGAACAACCACCCTACAGATGTCAGTTGCCAGGGACTGAACTATGTCCACAAAATTCAAATGCTGAGGCCCTGACCCCCACTGTTGACTGTGTCTGGAGACTTCCATAGAGGTAACTGAGGTCGCACGAGGTCCTGAGGGTAGGGGTCCGAATCTGATGAGGGACCCCTGTTCCCACACACACATATTCTCACACAAAGAAAGAGAGCAGCCCCTCTGTAGGCCTAGAAAAGATGCTTCACCAGAAACCAGCCGCGACAGTACTTGAACTTAGACCCTGAGCCTCCAGAACTGTGATTCGGTTCTGACGGGTCAGCCATCAAGGCTGTGTCATTCCTTAAGGCAGCCTCAGCAGACAGTATTCCACTGTATGAATTTAAATGAAGGCGCCAGACTGATGATGGTCACCAGGAATAACCGTGTGTGGCATCGAAGCACACACCCCAGGGAAGTCCAGGCTGTGCCAGGGCTCCAGCAAGCTGGAGACAGGCTTCAGTCTTCTCAATAACTGGAGTGCTCTTCCCAGTGGTCTGTTGCTCACTTCAGCCAACACGCACATTCTAATCAAGCTCCTCCTCTCCTAAAGTCCAAAGTGGGTCGTGGTAACTAGAGGCAGGCACCCCAGCGTCACTGAACTGCAAGCAGCTGCCATGTCTAAGATCTCAACATACCTGCAGAAGCTACTTGTGGGGAGCCAGTTTCCCTCAGTGGTGGGCTCAAAACCTCTCCCTTGAGCAAATGGTCTCTGGGATTCAAACCAGAAAATGCTGCCTAGAAAGAGCGCCCTGCCCTTGAGGACACTGCCAGCCGCAGTAAAATGCAGGAGGATGTGCCCGTGCCCAAAGGGAACCAAAAGGGTCTCACTCAGCTCACTGAAAACCAAACAACAGGACACATCTGAGCACAGTAAGAGTATCAGTAGACCTCTCGTTTCCACAGAAACAGTCCTCCAGTAGTGGCCAGTGTCATGTAAAAGACATGCAGCCCGAGACAGCGCTGAGCCACAGAACTGTGCTCCCTTACGATCAGATTAGCCTCGAAGAGCCTGACAGACTATCCCAGACAGTTCAGACTTCTGACCGAAAGGCCCCTGGTCGGCTCCCTAGGTGAAATCCACTGCCAGTGACAAGGATGGGCCCAAGAAAGGGGTCAAGGGATCCAGAGAAGGGGGGCCCAGGTCACAGCCTGCAGCAACACTTGAAATAACCCTTCCCAAGCCGTGAAAGACATGAAAACACCTTAGTAAGCAGAATGGGAATGCTTAAAAAACACCGAGAGATGCAAGTTTAAACCCCAAGGTGGAGCTTTACTTACATGATGGGATAATGAACTGTGGCTCAGTGTTGCCCGCGTAGCCGAGCTTGGTGTACCTGAAAACACAAAGTCAGCGACACGTTTAGATGGCGACGCTCACTCCACATCCCACTCAAGTCTTTCATTATAAGCACTCCAAGTCCCAACATATCAGGCCTCAGAACACTCTCCTAAAAACAGTTAAAACTGTTCACTGAGAATCAAACATCATCTCAAAGAAAGTATTTACAAGGCTTTAAGTATGACACCTGATTCCAGCGGAACGGAATCGTGGCCACCAACACACCAAGTGTGCGTCTGCCCTCCTGATCTCATCAGCGCGTTCACACGCCTCTAATCTTCACGTGAACATGAAGAAAACAGACATTAGCCCAGTTCTGCAGACGGGAAAACCGAGGGTCTGAGAAGTTAGGCTGCCCAGGCTAGAGAGCAGTGACAGGCAAAAAAGGAGCCCAAGTCTAAACACACAGGCAACTCCAGCACTTACTTCCCGACTCCTTGAACTTTGGAGGGGTTAGGAAATGGTTATATAATTTTCCTAAAATGTCATGGCAGATGTCTGGAAGCAGCTCTTCCCATCCCTGTGCTCTGACAGGAGCATCTTCATCATCTCATTTCGGAAGAAGCCCATTTTCTGTCAAGATACTCTGGGTGATGGATTCCAAGTCTTGACTAAAACAAATGCCAAGATACTACTATCTGTTCCAAACGCATTCGCTAATCTCCTAAATATAAAGGGGGTGAGAAAACATCACTCTGACCATCTGCTGGGAAGGCAGCACTGCGAGCCGGGCAAGCTGGGGACGCACCAGCCCCTCCCTCTGCAGAACCTCAAAGCAGGGCGCACGGCCAGCCCTCCTGACGGTGGATCAAAGGCTGCCTAGCACTGGGAAACCTGAATGTGCTCCACTTTACAAATTATCTCAAGATGTTTGAGATTAAATGTTTCTGTGTGATAATACTTCTATTTCTCACAAGTTAATTTTACGATTTTTAAACATACTTTGCCATATGTTGGCTTTGGTGCTTTTGAATGTGTAGTGAGTGGGTAAGGTTTGGGGCTTTAAAACAAGAAAGCTGGCTGTCCTGACATCACACCTACTGCCCAGCCTCCATGGGATGTGAATTCTTCACAACACAGGAGCAGGTGAGGCCAGACCCTAGACCCTAGGGCCTGACAGGACTAGGTCCAGCCGAAGCTCCCATAAGGCCACACACATCAGAGCTGGGAACAGGAAAATGACTAAATAGGCCCTCAGTCTCTCACTCCAGGGCCAGAAGACCCACAGGAGGATAGGCTTCTAGACCAACCTAGAGCCTGAGGCTTTCCAGGATGGAGGCAGCACAGACTGAACTTGCATGGTGGTGCACAGTCTATAACTCAGCATTGGGGAAGCTGAGCGGCGAGATGGCAAGGTCAAGGCTAGCTACATAGTGAGAGACTGTCTCAAAGACAAATCACCACCACCACCAACAGCAGCTCATCCCCAATTTGAATATCATTCTGGAAATATGTTCCAGATAGGGAACTGAATTACTGACCCAAGGCTGCAAAGCATATAGAACCCAGTAAGTGGATCAAGAATCACTAAATATTCAAATCTTTTTAATAATTTATTATTTTTATTTTATGTGTATAAGTGGATTGCCTGCATCTATGTGAGTGCACCCGTGTCTTGCAATGCCTCGGAGGTCAGAAGAGGGCTTCAGATTCCCCTGGAACTGGAGTTAAGGACAGTCAGTCCATAGCTGCCTTATGGGTGCTGGGAATTGAACCCAGGTCCTCTGCAAGAGCAGTCAGTGCTCTTAACCGCTGAGCCATCTCACCAGCCCCTAAATCGTCAAATCTTATCATGTAGTTTTCACAAATCATATCACCCACCCATCGACTCTCCCCAAATTCTTTAGTAAATCCATTCCCCCACACTGTTCGATTATGACCTCAGGAAAGGGGTGCCCCCTCATAGCTGTCTCTGCTCCCTAGGGCAGCACCTGGAGTGTGGCATAACTTCATAAGCATCTGCTGAATGCATCCTTCCCAAATGCTGAACGGCTGGGGACAGAATTGATGTGTTATAGGGAGATGCTGAAGGTCAGTAAAAAAGTGATGGAACCAGAGCCGGGCGTGGTGGCGCACGCCTTTAATCCCAGCACTCAGGAGGCAGAGGCAGGTGGATCTCTGTGAGTTCAAGGCCAGCCTGGTCTACATAGTGAGTTCCAGGACAGGGGGGGTCAAAGGGAGACCCTTTCTAAAAAAAAACCAAAAAAAAAAAAAAAAAAAAGGTGCTGGAACCAAAAAAAAAAAAAAAAAAAAAACAGATTCTCCCATATGATCTATTTACAGATGGGAAAACACCACTACATATGATGGGTTCAAAATACAGTAATATGTAGATATTTATTAAAATTACATGCTAAGTACAGACTGGAGAGATGGCTGTGATGGATAGCTTTAGTGTCAACTTGACACACCTGGGTTGAGGGAGCCTCAATTGGGGAATTTCCTCCATAGGACTGGCCTGTGGCCATGTCCATGGGCACCTTCTTGATTGTTGAGTGATGTGGGAGGGCCCAACCCACTGTGGGTGGTGCCACCCCTGGGCAGGTGGGCCTGTGTTGCATAAGAAAGCAGACTGAGCAGGGGCCAGGGGAGCAAGCCAGTAAGCAGCGTTCCTCCATGGACTGTGCTCCAGCTCCTGCCTCCAGGTTCCTGCCCTGAGTTCCTACCTTGGGCTCCCTGATGAACTGCGACCTGGGAGATGTAAGATAAATAAATCCTTTCCTCCCTAAGTTGGTACTGGTCAGAGTATTTTGTCACAGCAATGGTGAAACAAACTAGAACACTGGCTCAGTCACTAAGAGAGTGGTTGCTCTTGCAGAGGACCCGGGGTCAGTTCCCAGCACCCGCATAATGACTAATGATTGTATATTTAAAAATTAGATGCAAAGAATCATTCATGTTTGCTCTATCTTTCAGACGAGTATTTTTCATTATTTAAGACCACGCCCTTCGGCACCAGATGGCCTGGACTCTAATCCTAGCTCTGCTGTCAGACCTGAAGAAGCTGCTTCAACTTGCTGCAAATCAGTTCCTCACCCTCGGCCCCATCCCCACACCCATCTCGCTCCCACCCCCACCCTCGCCCTCGGCCCCATCCCCAC